CAGGGGCACGCTGCAATGCTCAGCTTCTGCATGGGTGCTGGGGATCGGAACTCACATCCTCATGCTTGTACGGAAAGCACTTTGCTGACTGCATCTCCAGAGCTCCAGTCACTCCAGTCTTGAAAGGAATTAAATTATGGTTGTTTCACCAATAAGGCAGCCACATGGCATAGCTCAGCTGGAATATGATTTCTTTTGTTTGTCTTTCCTAAGCAGATTAGTCTCTTGGAGTCAAGTGTAAGTGAAGATGTGTGTGGGTTTGGAAAGACATCAGGAATTCACAGGCTTCCGTATAGAATCTTATTTCTCCAAATAGTACCTCATTCCCGAGATATTATTTCCCGGATACCTGTGCACAGAAAAGGCACTGATGCATTAGACCCAGGAAGACGAGAAGTCATCCAGTACCTTAATCTTAACAGAAAGAACCAAAGCACTTGGAATCTACTGGGTAGATTAGGCCCCTGATCTATCTGAATAGATTATCTGAAAACATAGGTTGATGCCTTCAGAGGTGTTAGGTGTTTAATTAACCAGCACCTTGGAAACTATGAATAGCCAGAACCCTTTCTGGACTGCTTCTACATACTCCTTAGGCTATCTTAGGTTACCTGAATCCTTTCTGGACTGCTTCTGCATTCATACCTCTTAGGTTATTTTAAGTTACCGGAGTGCAGTTCTGAGGCAAACCTTTATAATTCAAGAAACTAAAGTAATTTATCTAATAGCCCGTGGCAAGTCAGTGCAGTTGAGAAGTGAATCCAGATCTTGGGAAAATCATCCTAATCTAGCTGTTTCACCAACTACTCTCTACATCTGGGCGTGTGTGTCAGCCTGTGTGTCTGCCTCTGTTCTGTAGACTGACTCAGCTTTTTTGTAGTCCCTCAGCAGTCACCAGGTCTCATTCTGACCTTCTGCCCCATCTGTCCTGAATGTGCAAGCAAACCACTTTCCCTCTGTCTGCTGCCCGTCCAGGAGTCCCAGAGTTCCTTTACCCACCCCACCCTCCCACCCCCCTACCCCCCACCCCCCGCACCGGCAAAGTTGGTGGCCTCAATTTTCCCCACTTTTCAGGATGCAATATCCAAGCACCTGTTCCTGAAGACTAGGTTATCCATTAAGGAGCCCATCCTGCTGCTTCTAAGAAAACTTCTCAGTCCATTCTTTTCTGACCTTCTTTCCTCTGATCCCTCCACTGGTTTCAGAAGAGAGTTCTGCAGTTATATGCAGTTTTTTATTTTCTGTTCTTTAAAATGACCTGCCCTCGGCCCACCTTGAGCCCCATTCCTTCACAGCCTCACTGCTTTCTTCCTGCCCTTCCCCTTCTGGGTTTCATTCTGCTCATCTCTGCCCTTACCTTAGATGTTTGACCTTTGCAGGCACCACTTACTACCAGGTTCTTCCTGTACGTGTGCCACCTTCTTTCTTTCTTGACTCCAGGCTGCTCAGCATTCTGGGCATCAACACAACCAAAAAATGGAAACAAACAAACAAAACTCCACTTGTATTTTTAGTCTTAATCCTCACAGGCCCAAGTTCTAGAACTGCAAAGCTAAACCATGACAAAGCATCTTTGCCCTTAGAATGTTCCAGAATCCTCATGACTTTTCTTTTTTCTTTTTTTCTTTTCTAATGGTAGCACTTTAACATAGAATGCTATCTTCCAAACACAGGTGAACTTTGGTCAAGAAGCATCTCTCTTCCTGTTATGTATAAGGTCAATGCAGAGAGGTGCCCTGGCACTGGGTCAAGAACCTGTTAGCCTGTCTGAGGGCAGCTCTTTCCAGGGAGCCACAGGTGGCTGGAAAGGTAGCACCTAGCCTGTGCCATCAAGACCAGCCTGTGTACAGCCTTGGCTACTCCATGGCCAGTCTGGCAAAAGGGTCAAGAGTGGGAACACCAAGGAAAGATGCTTCCTCCTGCTGAGTTCATGCTGTTAATTGGTGGGGAAAGCCAGTGTCTGACAGGAGCCTACTTCCAGAAGAAGCACCCTGTGCTATAGACAGAGTGAGAGTCGTATAAATTTTGTTGACTCTGCGTTATTTAAATCGTGCTTGGTCATTCATTCTCATAAAAAATGGAATGTGATTTACTGTTTTCTGGATTATAACTTTGCTTGTGTTTGAAACAGAAAAAACAATTTTCTACCAATTAAGGTATTTCTCTTCTCAATAATATGTTAACTTAGGAATGTGGTTTTCCCTGCATTCTATTCAACATGAAAGGCAGAATTAATATTTTTATTACCACTTTTAATACTGAAGGCATTGCTCAGCAGTAGATCACATGCTTGACGTGAGTTGCTCCCCAGACTCCACCCCTCAAATTTTGAGGTTACTTATTTCAAAATAGCTTATAAAATTTCCTTACACAATAGTTGGTAAAAAAATACATTAATAAACTGAATATCTAACTAGATACCTCAGTACATAGGTTTTTGTGCAACTACCAGGTTCTGCATGGAAAATCTGGCTCATATGATGCTAAGTGTACTAAAATATCATTACATATTTATTTGTGATGCTAATTTTTTTTAATAGTCTCATGTCTTTTTTTTCTCCTCACATTTTAAATTTTAAGCATTTATTAGGATGACTTCATGACTATGTGTACATACTATGAAATAAGATTTTCAATGTTTCTTCAGTTAGAGGAAAGCACACTTCCTCTCTAAGATGATATTGTTACTATAGAGTTCAAGGTATCATGGAGCTGGCTGGGGAGGGAGCATAGTGGTGTAGCATATATCCAGTATGGAGCAGCCCCTGGGCTTAACCTCAAAAGAGAAGAAAAGGCAGGGTGTTTGTAATGGCTTGCAATATCTCTGCAATTGTATAGTTATCTTTAGTAGTATTTATTAAATCTAAATATAACATAGAGATGTCTTAACTTTTTGTTTTGTTTTGTTTTGTTTTGTTTTGTTTTGTTTGTGATGGGATGGGATGGGGGGAGGCAGGGTCTCATGTAACTCTGACTGGCCTGGAACTGGCTATGTAGACCAGGATGGCCTCCAGTTCACAGAAATCTGCCTCCCTCAGAGTGCTGGGATTAAAGGCATGCACTACCACGCCCAGTTTTAAAAAAATTAAACTGAATTAACTGAAGAAACATGCCCTGAGGGGAAAAATCTTTTTTTTAAAAAATATGCTTTTTTCCCCCTTTCCTTCTCCCGCTCACTCTGGCCCCACTTGCTCCAGCCCAAAGGTTTTTTTATTTATTTATTATATATAAGTACACTGTAGCTGTCTTCAGACACCCCATAAGAGGGCATCAGATCTCATTACAGATGGTTGTGAGCCACCATGTGGTTGCTGGGATTTGAACTCATGACCTCTAGAAGAACAGTCAGTGCTCCTAACCACTGAGCCATCTCACCAGTCCAGGAAAAAGAATCTTAATAAAGAAGTTGAAATTTTAAAAACAAATGAACCAACAAACAAAAAACAGATCTGGAGACTGGCTGCACAGTACAGTAAAATATATGTTACTAAACTGTAATTGAAAGTAGTTAATGAGGGTGAATTTTAGAACATACCCATTTTTTTCATCGTCAGAAAAGAATCAATAGCCTCTCCCTCTCTCCCTCTCTCCCTCTCTCCCTCTCCATCTCCTTTTATTCCTCTCCCTCTTCCCTTCCCTCCCTCTCTTCCCTTGCCCCTCCCCTTCTCTCTCTCCCTCTCCCTCCCTCTCTTCCTCCCTCCCAGTCCTTGTCTCTCCCCCTCCCTCTGCCTCTCCCCATCATCTCTCTCCACATGTTACCAGACAGCCTCTTTTCTTCTTTTTCTCCTTTCTCTTTCTGTCTTTCTTGGTCCTCTTTCTTTTGCTGCCTCTACTCCCTTTCCCAAACCCCCTTCCCATGTCCCCCGAAAACTTCATTTTATACTAGAAAAAAAAAGAAGAAGAAGTCAACCTAAGTGACATGAAATTTAGAAACAGTGGTGACCTTTGTCCAAAGTACAGAGTTGGTGTGGCAGGGACTGTGCAATGGGCTTGGATTGCAGGGGTCCTCCATGGGGATATGCTTTCCAGAGGAGGAGAGTGGAGAGGCTGCACCTCCCTTCTCCTGCAGATACAGCTGGTGTCTAAAGTGAGCAGGGGTCCATGAGATAGCCTCATCGGAACACTAGAGAATGAAGCCCTCCCGCTTGCTGTACAGTCCTGGAGAGCACCTGCCTTAAGGAGCCTCTCTGTTTTGTCATCTGCTCTGTGAGGCTGACAGCTGAGGGGGCAGAGTGGTTACCAGGTACCTGCCTGCCGTCCCCTGCAGCTACACATGGGCTGTGGCTGAGCAGATGACTCTGCCTGCTGGCCCCATCTTGGCCTTCGGTCACCACTTTTTTTCTTACGAACCCTCATTCATCAAATACTTCCAAAGAGGAAACTGAAAGTTGGTTTCATCTGTCTCAGTTAGGGTTTCACTGCTGTGAGCAGACACCATGACCAAGGCAACTCTCATAAGGACAACATATATTTGGGGCTGGCTTACAGGTTCAGAGGTTCAGTCCATTATCATCAAGGCGGGAACATGGCAGCATCCAGGCAGGCATGGTGCAGGAGGAGCTGAGAGTTCTACATCTTCATCTGAAGGCTGCTAGGAGAATACTGACTTCCAGGCAGCTAGGATGAGGGTCTTAAATCCATGTCCACAGTGACACACCTACTCCAACAAGGCCACACCTACTCCAACAGGGCCACCCCTCCTAATAACGCCACTTCCTGGGCCAACCCATCACATTATCCTACACTAAAGAAAGCTTTTTCTTAGAGAAGTCCTGACCAGGAAATTATTTAGATGAGATGTGTCAGGGCTATGCTCTTTAGAGTATAGCCAGTTTTCCTTCCTTTAAGCTTCATGAATGATTTCAGAGTATGGAATTAGTATCCTTTCCCATTCCCAAATGGCTGTCTGCTCTGGAGGTTATGGTAGGGGATTATTCATGTTTTCCTTTTTTTTTTTTTTTGTTAAGTTATAGTTCTAACTTCGACCCTGTTTCCATTAGGAGACGAAAGCATGGAAATTAAAAAACAAATTACAGGGATGAGAAGATTACTGAATGACAGCGCTGGAAGGATATATCAACGTGTTGGCAAAGAAGGGGAAAAATTAAAAGAAGAGCCGCAGGATGTGGATTTAGTCTGGCCTCAGCGGTTGAATTCCTCCTCCGAGGCCCCACAGGGGCCTCCTTCACGTGGGACATGGAATGAACTACCAACCCAAAGCGGCCAGTTCTCAGGGCAGTCTGGTCCACGTTCTAGACCCTTCCAGAGTCAGCCCCGTATCTCTGCAAGTTCCAATGGTACGACTGTCCTACAATATTTAGAATATCCTGGTGGGTTTGTTTTATTGCTGAATACTGAGTTCGTCCTTTGAGATCGGTCTATGACGCCCTCCACTGGTCACTGTCCTCGCTGAGTTCTTTGTAGTTTTCTTGTGTAGAACTGAGGGTAGAACGCAGGATCTCACACATGCTAGGCCACTACTGACTACTCAGCACTGGCTCCTGCACTGTGTTATTTTACAAAGGCCAAAGGGGAAGATGGAAAGAAGAAATCTTAAGTGTATAAAAACTCTGGAATGGAGAGTGAGGAAGGCCAGTGGGTCTGTGTTTTAAAAAAAGCAGGTTTCTAGTAGAGTTTTAAGAAACAGAATTCTCACCCACCAGTGCACAGATGATGCTGTCACCGGAGACTGGGCATTAATGCAGAAGCAGCTCCCTTCAGCACTAAGAAGCTTCCCGGCTGTGTGTTGTGTTGCTGATGCACGCTCTTGCTTATCCCTCGCTTCCCTTCCTCATCAGAGAGTCCTAGTTAGTGATGCTTCACAATCTTCTGTACAGCTCTGTCCTTTCCTCCTGTTCCAGTGCGGAATTGCTGAAACTCGAGCAAAGTTCGCCTTTAAAGCAGCAGTGCTCAATCTGTGAGGCGTGACCCCTTGGGAGTCAACCGACCCTTCCACAAGGGTTTCCTAAGACCATCATAAAACACAGATACTTAGGATACGATTCATAACAGTAGCAAATTATAGTTACGAACTAGTGACGAAAATAATTTAATGGCTAGGGGATCACCACAACAGAAGCAACTTTGTTAAAGTTGTCACAGTAAGAGGAAGGTTGAGAGCCACTGGTTTAAAGTAAAATTTCTTTAAAATCGCTGACTGTTAAGTTGGGAGGAGGGGTACCAATTATTTTTTTTCAAAGCTTAGGGGAAAAAAATGATGCTTTCCTTGATAATATTAATTTCCCACCCAGTGACACTGGATGTTGTTTAGTTTATAAATTATGCATAGATTTGCAGATTGTAGTTCTCATAAAGAATAAAGGAGAAATACGGCATTTCAGATCCCTTGAAAAGTTTAAGAACTTCCTTCCTTATATTTTCATTTTATGAGATCCTCTGGTAAAAAAGAAAACGTTTTGATTTTCTTTTTTCCTTACACACAATTCACAATGACGAGTTCAGGGGACCGAGAAGCCATCCTGAGACACTGATGAGACAGTAAGGGACCTAGCGATGGATGGTGCCTCTCGTCTCCCAGTGTTACTACATAGGCAAGTATCAAGTTCACATGCTGGCAGGCTTCCAGGTTAGGGGGATGTTGCTCTTTAAAGGCTCCTCCATAAAAATAAAAAGTCAGTTCTCTTTAAAATTGGAAAATGATTTATAATGAGCTGAGAAGGGCTAGTTTTGTCCTCTAAAAAAATCATAAAGACAGTGCTTAGATTAGTGCCAGCGGTGCTCTGCGAAGCCCTCTTAACTCCACTCCAGTGAGAGGGAAAAGGGGGCGCTCAGGTGTACAGTAAGTGTGACCCTCCCACATCAGTAATTTTGGGGTAACATATTTACTCAACAATTCTACTACACAAGAGTGAAAGATTTACCTTAGAAATGGACACTAATATTAAAAGTTTACAAAATTCCTCCAAATCAGTGTCAGAAGAGATCTTTTTTGTTTTACTGCTTGCATCATTTCAGTACAAATATACTACACAAGGGGCAGAACAGAGAGTTCAGAGAGTTCAGTGGTTACACTCTCAGTCCCGTAGCATGGAGACCTGAGTTCAAATCCAAAGAGCCCACATAAAATCCAGGTACGGCTTTTGTAACCCCAGCACTAGCAGCGTGAAGTCAGGACAGACATGCTGGCTAGTCGGTCTAACCAGATCAGCAGGCTCCGAGTTTGCTGAGAGATCCCGTCCTTCAAGGAAGACACTTGACATCGACCTTTGCCCTCCATACTCACATGCACACCCATGTGATCATATAAAACCACCATGCACACACAGACACACAAAATATACTGTACAGTTGATCCTTGAGTAATGTATGCTGGAACTAGATTTTGTAGAGATTTGCAACATTGGGCAAACCCTCAGATGGACATCACAGTTTAGAAACAGTGAAAAATATGTGGAAGTTAGACATGTCATCAATGCATAAAATATGTCTATACTATCAGTTATTTTTTATCATTATCATTTGCTACCAAAATACATACACTTCTTATTTTTTTTAAATTAATTAGAACTTAGGCATACAAACACTGTATAGACTGTGTGTGACGTCATTTACAGTTAAGAGAAATTTAAACAAATGTAAATTTTTTTAGCTGCCCACTGTTACCACTGTGGGGAGTTAGAAATCAAAGTGGGATCTTTGACTTTACCTGGGACTGTGCCCCGCCCACCTCCCACAGTCCCTCACGAATCGCTTGGCTACAGCTCTGACTGCCCTGTGTCACTTTGGGAGGGTAGGTCACCTCACTTTGCTCCCATTGAAGTATTAATACTTATGCTTCTCCAGAAGTTACCTTAAATTCTTCTGTGGTTTTGCTGTGGTAAACATCAGTATCTCCAAATCATGAGGATTACAGGAGTTAGATTATATCTAGTGGACGATAAAACAGGTAATTGGGACAAAACCTATTACTTGATCTCACCTGCCTACCAGAAACTTAAGGAGCCTCGATGCATGGTAGCCAACCTGGGGCTGGAGAGGTCCAGCTGCCAAAGCTTTTTGCCAAATGTTCTGTTTTAGTTCACAGACAATGGGGAAATATTTGTTCATATATGGGAGAAACAGAAGAGAACAGCTTTGTTCCGGAACATACATTAAACGGTGAGAAGGAAACAGTGAGGGCCTCATAAGAAGCTGGGTGGAGAAAAGAGGGATGGTCCTTCATGTAGAAGAACAACTACAGACACCTCCGAGCAAGAAAACACTGGCCTTGCCCACCCTGCCTCCTGCTTCTCCCCACCCCAGGCAGAGAGTTCTAGAAGTTTCTGCATATCTACAGCTACTAGTTTTTAGGGTTTGTCTTAAGTTTTATTATGAACTCCTGTAGAATGCAGACCAGCAGTGGTTCTTCAAGACTATTACAGAGCTGGACTTCATGTTTTTGCTTTTGCTGTTTGAGAAAATAGCATGAGCGTTTTATCATGACTTGTCAGAGCCTTGTGGTAGACGGGCCTGCCTTGGTAGCGCATTGTGTGCCCAAGTTCACAGAGGCCCTGTGACAGCATCGTTCACACAGACCCTGTGACAGCACAGCATGCACCTAACAAATTGAAGCCTGGATAAATAGATAAACCCCCACATTTAGGTTGTGAAAATCACTGGGTATGTTTTCTTCTAACACAGTTTGATGATAATTCTGCATACTTCAAAATCCCATCAAGATATATTTTTTCCTTTTCTTTGTAATTAATTTTTGCATGCTTTGGGAGTATCTCATTCTTTTCTTTCATGCTTAGGAGAACTTCCAGGGGTGAATTCGACAGTTGGATCCAACTGCTGTACTTGTAACTGCCAGTCAACCTTGCAGGCCATTCTCCAAGAACTCAAGACCATGAGGAAATTAATGCAGTTTCAAGCAGGTACAAAGATCAACCCTCTACACACATCCTCTGCTGCTGATGTGCAGCTGACGTCTTCACTTGTATGCACTGTCCTTCTGTCCCACACTCCTCGCACCTTGCCATCTGTCTTGCTGTGCCTTTTCAAGTATTTATTTTCTCTACTCTTTCAACAACCTGTGATTTTGTCTTTTTTTTTTTTTAAGCAAATCAAACAAATTTTGTTATTGCCCCTAATACTGCTGTTGGGCACATCCTCGTGAACTCAGCACACTTCATCTCCTGATCTCCTGGTACTTCACAAATGCTAGTTAATTAAATTTTGGAATATCTTATGTGAAAGAGCCCTTCAGGAAATACATGCTTCCCTGTTGAAAATGCTCAAGGACGTGAGCAAATGAAAAGCAGTGAGCCCCAGGTTCTGCCTGCCTGTGATGTCCTGCTTGCAGTAGGACAGAGATGGTTAGACACACCTCCTGTCTGGGCTGTCTGTTTCCTTCAATTGACTCTTTGTTCTCTGTCATTGGCTAAGGGGAACAACCTAGTAGGGCATGGGTGACTGGGGATTGAACCACCAGTTTCTCAGCTTCTAGCAGGATGCCTTCTAGGCTTCCCGTTCTCATCTGTGAGCGAGCATTAATGTCCGATTCACAGGGTTGTTTTTTAAATGTGACAGAGATAGCAGCAGTAAATGAGTCTTATAAGGCAGACTGCATGCCTCTGTTCTTTTAAGGACCCCACAGCACTTGGTAGAAATGTGGAAGTCAAGGTCTTTTGTCTAGTAGCTCATTTTCTAATCATCACAAATGGTAAAGAAAACAGAATTTTTATTTTGTTGCATATACAAAAATAAGAAAATCCTCTGGACAGCAGAAACTGCTTGGCACTGTTCATGTGGAATAGCAGGACAGCAGCCCAGGCCTGTGGTGATGGGCCTGCTGACCCTTAACACGGTAGTGTTCACAAAATCATCTCTCAGAAAGTGCACTCCGTGCCAGCATCCCAGTAAGACCCTCCCATTCGGTGATGTGGCCCTGATGTAGAAAGCTTAGTACTTAGACACATCAGTCACCCACAATCACAGGTTTAAAGAAAGCAAAAGGATTTATTTCTGTGAAATATCTCTTTAAGGACTGAACTTGGTCAATAATAAATCTTGACTTGCCTCGTCCCACCATGATAATCAGTGTTCTTGCTAACCTGGCAAAGGTTGGATCTCCTACACACCGGCCCCAGAAAGAAAGGTTACCTTATTCTGATCGCTGCTGCTCACAGAGGGAGATTTTCTTAGTACTTAAGAAAGTATGCATATGAAATGGTAATGATTTATTTTGTTACTTAAGCTCCTTACTGCTGAAATGGCAAACTATGGATTGCGCCCATGTAGATCCTTGACTGGAGCCTTTTTAGAATCTATTAAGTAAATGCTACCTTGTCACCATGTTTTCTCTTCTGAACCTTTGCAGATTAGTGAGGCAAGTGATTCCGGAGCTATGAGGAATAAAAAAAGGATAAACCGAATAAATGACTCTCCTTTAATTTTCTTAAACTTAAAAAAAATCATGTTGTGTGGACAGCTTTACTTAAGGGTTATCGCCCATGAGATTTAGATGTAAATTCTGTTTTGAAAGCTTTACCTTTATTTTACCGGAGGGCGTAAACCAAGCAGTGAGAGCTGAGTGCAGGAAAACGGGGCTCTTTCGAGACTTGCAGGAAAAGCAAGACTTGAGAGCCCTCTGTCTGGACACCAAAAGCTCTGGAAAGAGTGAGCTTAGAGAGAGCTTGAGGCTGGGGGCTGCAGCTTAGCTGCTCCTGATCGTGGTTTGTAGAGTCCACTGACCCTGGGGAATAGACAGGCTATCCTGGAATTAAAATGCATCTGGCTGTATGCTGGAATCTCTGGAGAAACCTTATAGCAATATTGATGTCCTGGCCCTTCCCCAGACATTCTGACCTACTGAGTCCAGGACAGATTATTAAGGATTGGCGTACTTTTCAAAATGCCCCAGTGATTCTAAAGTGTAGCTGAGATCTAGAACCAGTGTCACTAATCACCACATGCATAGTCAAAAAGGCCACTATCCAGGTAGCTGCTTTCAGAACTTAGACACTGCCTTCTAGTACAGAGACTAAAAACATATTTGAATCAGTATAAATATTCTTGATTTTCAGACTTGTAGGAAATAAGAGGAAGCAGTCTGTGTTGATGTGCATTTAAGGACTTAATTTTCATGGGGTCTGTGTTTATAGGTTTCTTTCTGTTTGGAAAAAAAAAAGGCAGGCATTTCTAGAGCTCTTATTTAGGAAGCCATGTTGATAGACGGGGAGTTGATACAAATTGAAGCCATATTCTCTTCTGTCCCATTCCATCAGAGTGGTTGACAAAATGCTCCTTCTCAGAGCATCCTTTCAGTGCCTGTGAAAGGCCAACTTGCCATCTCAGATTCTTAAGTGCATGTTCAGTGTGAGCACTGGTCACGTACTACTTGTAGGTTTGCTAATTCACTCTACTCGTTCAGAACTGGTGCTCCCACTTCTCATTATGTAAGAGTGAGGTGGGGAAGCAGGCAGCCTGGCTTGACACCGGGGGAATGCGGTGTGCAGAGATGGTTGCTGTTCGAGAACATTTGATGAGGAAGGATGACAAATGAGGCTTTTCCATGTGCTTACCCACTCAGCCCTATTCTAGATAGAATCCTTCCAAACTGTTTCCTTCAGCCTTGCCCAGGGGATCATCACCCTGGCCCTTGTAGGCTGTCACTGATCAGCTGACTCCCAGTGACGTTAGGGCTTTTGCTAGGATGGGCTTCCCAGAGAGCGTGAGCATCTTCCCTAGATTTAAGTTCTGGAGTTTCTCGTTCAGACCTACCACACAATCATGAAGCCGTGCTTTCAAAGCTCTTAACCCTTTCCTCCCACTGAAGCCAGGATGTTGTACTGATCCAATGAACCAGAGTTTTCAGAGCTGTTTCTCCTGGTGACACTCTGCTGTCAGGACTTTAAGGTGCTAAGTGATGTGTATCTTCATCCCGAGAGAGCCCCACCTCAGAACCAGTTAGTAAATCGCAGGGACAGGCCGGGATAGGTTTTCCTCAGACACAAGTGCCTGTACCATATTTGTGTTTATTGTCCACAGTTGGAACTCAAAACAGACAACAACCCCCAATTTCCCTTATATGCTCCCAGCGAACCGCCGTCTCACGCAAGAGAAATAAAAAGAAAAAAGTGCTCCCGAAGACTGTGGAACCGGTGACGACTGTGAAACCAAAGCCCAGTCCCTTGGAAATTGAGAAGAAGCCAGCAGCTGTGGCCACAAGGCCACCTTGTCTCCAAGCTGCAGAGCGCATTTCCACCGAGGAGAACCACGTCTTGGGATTTGGCATTGTTCTGGAATCGCCGTCCTCAGATGTAAGTTGATATTTTCTGGCTGCCAACCTGGTTGATAGAAGTTTCAGGAACCTTATAGTATTAAGACACTTTCCACCTAACTAGTTCTGCTCCTAACAAGTAGGTAGGTATGCAGTGGGAAAGAGGAGACTAGTAAGAACCTGAAGAATGTGTGCCTGCCTTGTCCAAAGACATTCAGCTCCTTATCTCTGAAAGAAGAGGGGTGTGTTGTAAATAATCTGCTCACTAATTTCTCTACGATTTTTAATTTCCAAGTGGCAGTTTTCAATTTCCTCAATGTAGAAAACTAAGAGGACATAATTAAATCCTTTGTCGATGGGCATAAACGAACAGAAGCATACAGATAAGGTCAAACCTTTGTGGAAACACAAACTAAGAATAAGAAAGGAACAGCAGTGCTAATTCTCTTTTATAGATGCAAGCCACACTGCTAATTAGGTGGCAGTGCCATGCCATTTACTCCGTGTAATGATAGGTTAACACTCTGCAAAGGTTTGCTATTTTAATATCACGGCTAGAACGTTGTTGCAGACTGGGACGGTAGATTGCATCTGAGATATCCATCTGACATGCTGTTTTATATTCATGGGCCCATAAACGAATTTCTGTCATAATGTGCTGAGTTTGCAGCTGCATCTCTCTTTACGATATCTTTATCTGGAGTACACTTCGGTTGTGAACCCCAACTTGTTGTCAGAGTTCTTAAAATAAGCAAGAAAATGTGATGTATTGTCACCAGATTGCGTAGGATGAGGCCCCTGCTGAGAACCCCCACAGACTCCTAGAGGATTGGACTTTCACCCTGCCTCCTAAACTTTAAATAAGAAACAAATTGCTGACTTCCTTAAGTAGTCGCTTTTGAGTTAGAGGGAGACAGTTTGCTAGCATATATCTACATTTGGGCCCTTATTGGAAAGAAACATCTCACTATGTTTTCAATCTAGAAAATTCTTTGCACTTTCATCTAACCCTTACTATTGTAAGAGGCATTTGTTTTATGATATGTATGTGCTACGGCCGTTAAACTCTTCTAAACTAATATTTAATTTACAAAGTCCTTTGGTAATGAGGTTTGGTATGGGACCAGCTCACTTGTTTGATTGTATTGTATAGCTAAGGCCTGGTGCAGATAGGCTGTTTTTTGATAAACTGTCATGTTTTCCTTAAATTTCTTAAAATTCATTTCTGCTAGGCATTGGTACATTAGAAACAGTAGTTGAGACTGTAAATAATGTGCTGTGTAGGTGTGTCTAGTCCGATTAATAACTGAATTTCCCCCTTTTATTGTTAAGTTCCAAGTGTATTTTAGCTATAAATTGGAGGTCTGGTAAGGACCCTGTGTACATTTACAAAATAGAATAGAATTTTTATTAGTTTTACCAACATCAGTATTTATTTATGTAATACATAAAAACAGTTTACATTTTATTCATGGCCAGTTCTGGTACTTCTTACCAAAAACGATCTTTAAATGATAGCATGATTGTAAAGAAAAAGTAGGAAAGCTGTGTGTGTCATCTTTACAGTACTGTCTGACAGCACCACTTAATTCATCTCTTCAGTGCATGAGTGAGCTGAGAACCTCACCTAGAGAACTTAACACTGAGTCCCAGTACGCACTGCGAAAATGCTCTCCATGGACAGTGCTCATTGATGCCCATCCGACTGGCCTGAGAAGCTCCTGGGACAAGGGGTACGCTTGATTCCAGAAAAATGGACTCTCTGTGCTCAAGTACCCAACTTAGGTCCCTTTCTAATCTTTTAGTATTTCTTAGCTATGAGGCTATAAAATGTTTAATGGAAGTCTAGAGGGAATAATTCTTCTAATTTTTATAGCAATTATCCTATAAAACAAGTTGGAGAAAACACAGGGAGATAGGAGTTTTGCATTAGAAAATGAGCTCTGAGACGTCTTCAGTGTTCAGAGGTCTTCCGTCTGACAAAAATTGGGCATTTTGTCCACTGTGTCTCGAATAGCTGAGTGGCTTTGGAAAAAAGCAGGATGCTTCCAGGAGAGAAAAGCTTGATGTTGTACATGAGGTACGGTCCACCTTCATCTGGGGGACACAAAGGAGCCACTGGTGAAGGTTTCATGCAGAGGAACAGTCTGCCTGTGGGAGAGTAGTGACTGGAGTCCATTATGAATGACAGACAGATGAGGAAGGGAGAAGAGAAAGCAGTGGTTCTCAACCTGAGAGTCATGACTCCTTTGAGAGTCGACTGTGCCTTTCACAGGGGTTGAATAGCAAATATCCTGCATATCAGATATTCATATTATGATTCTAAAAGTAGCAAAATTACAGTTATGAGGTAGCAACCAAAAATAATTTTATGGTTGGGGGCACCACAGTAATCGGGAGCTATATTATAGAATCACAGCCTTAGGAGGGTTGAGAACCACTGAACTAGCATTTAGGCAAAAAGAAAAAAGATCCCTATGGTTAACCAGGCAAGACTGGTAAGCCTGAAAGTGAAGGGAGGGCCCTTGAGGACAGACTGCTTGCTGTAGGCAAAGCAAATGCCTGGGTTTGGTTTTGGGAAGGTGGTGGGTGGCTAGCTTGTACCAGCAGCTTTACTCAAGGTAGGACCACTCACCAGTCTGGCTTCCTATTCTAGATAGGAAGGAAAAGTGAGTTCAGCATCCTCAACTGTTCTTTAGACCCAGTTGGCAGAGGAGAGAGAGTAGTGTCAAGCACCACACCTCTGCTAATTGCTCTTCTAAATTCAAAACAAACAAACAACAAACCTGTGAATTATCCTTAAAGATTCACAATGTATTAAGTTACTCTTTTACACTAACTTGTCATGTCACACAAATGCAGTTGTGTGTATTCACAGCACAAACCCAAATGTAACAAACAGCCCATGAGGTTCTGGAGATCACTGTAGGCAACACAACTTCTGAGTGACGATTATCACTCCTTCAACACAGGAGTGCACAAAGCTCTAACCAAGCCCACTGAGATATCAACACGTGAAATGATACGTCATATATGGGGAAATCCTACTGCAATCCTTTATGTATAAAAGATCCTTAATACGTGTAATTTACTTAATCTACAAATGACAAAATATCTACTCCTGCATAAAGCACCTTGTACAAAGTAACCTTAAAAATATTGGGTCCAGGTTTGGCTTCAGCTATAGCCCGTTCCTCAGTGTATCTGGCATTTGCTTGTTCAGTCCCTCCTCTCTGCCCATACACCGTCAGGGCTCTAATCTAATTTGAGCAATTTTCCTTTACAGAAATGTCTGTGGTTTTTAATGAGTTACTTCCATGTCTTTGTATCCTTCTACCCCGGCTGCTCAAGAGCAGGGTCCTATAGTGTAAGAGTAATAATACTCATGTGACATCCTGAGTGAAATAACTCATCTCATTTAATTCTTACTGTTATCTTCTTAAAGAGAGCCTGCACAAGTTGGCAGGGTCAGATGAGGCCGAACTAATTGTCCACTCCAAGCCTATTATCTGCCCTGGTCCACTGTGGGAAACACCCTGGATGCCCATTCAAATACATGTACTTTGTTTTTTTACATTTTTATTGTTTTATATGTGTAGGTATTTTGTCTTCATGCATGTGTGTGTGCCATGTGTATGTCTGGTGACCATGGCGGCCAGAAGAAAGTGTTGGACTCCTTGGAGTTACAGACGGTTGTGAACCACCCATGGGTGTTGTGAGTCGAACCCCAGACTTCTAGAAAAGTATCCAGCACTCTTCTTAGCTACAGAGCCATCGCTCCAGCCCTCAAGCACATTTCTTGGTCATAAGCACTCAGTAATTCTTTATGACTGATCATTACTTGAAAGGGAACCAGATGGTTAGACTATGACTCTTTAATTCTGTTTACTTGGCACTTTCTTAGGGCAACAGCAAGTGGTTAAAAGAGCAGGCCACTAGCTTAGGATCTCAGCCATGTGACCCTGAGCAAGTGAACCCTGTTCCTCACTCAGCTTCCTCTCTATAAATGGGAATAATAATGCTTTCCTCAGAGTTGGCCTCCTGGAAGAATTGATGAAGCCTTCTATGGAAAGCACTTAGAACAGTGCCTGGCACATTTTAAGCACTCGATAAATATTGGTTCTTTTTTTTTTTTTTTTAACCTTACCATTCCTACCTAAGTACCTTCAGAGGAACAAATGTAAATATGGTTAAGTAAATTTAGCTGTCTGTATGAATGATCAGTTGCACGTGAACAAATAGCACTTTAGAGAAGGAAATGGCTAAGGGTGTGGGGTTCACACTTGCAACATGATTCTTTGACCCTTTTAAAGTTAACACTTCGATAGAGACCTAAAGTACACAGAAGCGGAAGCAGAAACCCAAAGACAATTCTGAAATGCAAATACATGACTTAATTCTTTTTCCATGAATTCACAACATAGTGTTCTATGAGACAAAACAGTTGCTCACTCCTTACACTTACAGCCGTTCGGTACTGGATCTGATGATCACTGTTTCTTAGGGAGATGTTACACCTGAACTACAGTAGTTTTCTGTTTCTCAATGGTTGACTTCCATGTTGTTTTGTTTGCTTTCCTTTGCTTTATTGAACCACTCAGATAAGCTTTAAAAACCTATAACATAATTTTTAATCATAGAAAATGTTTTTATTTGATGGAGTTATTATAAATACTCTCCAGTAATTCCAGATTTCAAAAATTCTAAGTTAACAGAAGACAAATGATGAATATTCATCAGTTTAAGATAATTTTGTTAATCCTGATTCTGTATGCTTCTTAATTTTAAACGCACTGGTGCCTTCAACAAAAATAGCTTCTTAATTCAGAGTGCTTTTCTGATAACATCTTATCTCAATAGATAAAATGTTCTGCTAGGATCAATTAAGGTAAACCATGGAAAACATTTTCCATTTACTCACTGACATTAAAGTGTATGTGCATGAGCGCCTCCATGTCTACGGTAGGCTACTTGGGTTCAAACCCTTGCCTGGCTGTGTAAGTTGGACGACCCTTTAACAAGTTACTCAACCCTCATGGA